AGGAGGAAAATTAAGCCCGGTTCTGAAAACCCCGGTATTTGGAAATGTCCCGAAACTCTGCCGACATTTTTCAAAAGTTGGAAAAGAAAGAAATGGAAAAAAGTCATTTTAAAATGAGTCAATAACATGTTTCTCCCGATTATGTCAAAATTGACCGAACTACGCAGGTCTGATTCTCACCGGATGTGGGATACGTAGGCAACCTACATAAGGTTCGGCCTAATTTTTGCAAAAAATAACCAAATAAAATAAAGTGTAGTCTAGTGCTCTGGTCAAAAGAGTAAGCCGACCCAGCTTCGGTTATGTCTTAAGCCGTTCTTGCCAGGATAGCCTTAGAGCATCTTTCAATTGTCGAAGGGCTATTTTCGTAAAGAACGGATAAGTCTGTCGGTAAGGTGTCATTTTTCCAAAAGTACCCTCCCCCAGCCTCAAAATTTATTTGGAATTGTGAAGGGGCCACGTTTACAAAAACGACCACTTGTTGTTAAAATGGCATAGGGGGCATTCTCCTTCGATTTTTCCCCTTTAGAAATTGAAAACTGATTTCGCAAAAAGAGTTCACTGGAGTCAACCCTAACCTTAACCATCCACAGGTACAAATGAACACTGTCCAGAACCCGTCAGTATTGGTCATAGAACAGGCTCAGCTGCAGCTTCGTATGTGGTGGTATGATCTAGATGGAGATGGTCAGGATTGGGTAAAAGAGCATTTGGGTGCCCTTACAGACATTATGGAAATCAAACCGCAGGATGATCTAATCAAAGCCTTGGTAACTTTTTGGGATCCTGTCCATAATGTTTTCCGTTTCTGGGATTTTGAGCTCACCCCCTACTCTGGAGGAAATAGCCGGATATATTGACTTTGGCCGGGACTTGAGGAAACAACAACTTATATTCCCAAGGGTTCCCTCTGTGCACAAATTCTTTGATCTCCTGAATAGCAGCAAGCAAATGAAGAAGGCCCATGTAAACAAAGGATGTTGTTCCATTTACTTCTTGTATTCCAGGTTTGGGCACTCAGTTGAGTTCGAAACGCACGATAAGGGATTAAACAACAAACAAGATAAGAGCATCTGGCAAATTCATCGTCGGTTCGCCTTCATAGTGGCGTTTTTAGGAATTATAGTCTTTCCGAATGCAGAAGGGACAATAGATATCCGCATGCCCAGAATTGCACAAATCCTCACTACTAAAAGAAATCACACACTTGCTCTATTAGTGTTGGCAGACATTTATCGAGCATTAACATTGTGTAGATCCGGGGCTCAATTCTTTGAAGGTTGTAACGTTCTTCTGCAAATGTGGTTGATCGAGCATCTCCGCCATCACCCCAAATTCATGAGCTATGGCTCGAACAAGGACAAATTCATCAAGAGTTATGAGGAGAGGGTGAAAGACTACAATTCTCCAGAAGGATTTGAAGCCTGGGTCTCCCACATAAGAACTCTAAAAGCAAGTCAGATTGAATGGACTCTAAGATGGCTTCCGGTAACGGAAGTCATACACATGACGGACACTAAAGGCTACCTAATGTTGATGGGTTTAAGAAGTGTCCAACCATACGCGCCGCAGAGAGTTTTGAGGCAATTGGGAAGATATCAAGTGGTGCCCGAAGATGAAGATTTGAGTACCAAAGTCATTGAGTTGCACCCAGAAGCTACATTACCCGAGGCTTTAGTCCAACAAGATTGGAATGGTTGTCGATATCTGAAAAATGACACCCATGTACCAGATCTTGTGAGAGGAGAAGTGGATCCAAATTAAGCTGTATGGTTTGAGAGGAGGTCTTGTGCTAATGGTGAGCCAGAGCCCGAACCCGAGCCTGAAAGGCCCGCCAAAAGATCTCATGTTCAGGCTTTTGATGATAAAATCCGGGAAAGGTTGGCCTGGGGAGAAAAGGAGAAAAAATATCAAGCCACCATTCACACCTTAGAAGAAAAGTTGAGAAACGTCGCATTTGATAATGACTTACAGGTGCAAGAAGCTGAAGGTGAAAGGAGAAGGTTGGCCCAAGAAAATGAAGCCCTCCGAGTTCAGATTCAGAGGATGAAGATAGGCGCTGAAAACCCGGCCAGAAGTAGACAAGATGAAAAACTCATAAACAGTCTTAGACGAAAAGTATGTGATTATGGGGTTGACTTGGAAAAGGTCGAAGAGGAATTGGCAAAAACCCGGGCAAAGTTGGCAAAGAATTCAAAAGAGCGGACGAGGTTTGCTCAACAGCTAAAAGAAAAGTATGATAGAGAAGTCACGTCTTTATAGAAGAAACTGACTACTCTTGAAAATGAAATGGCCCAGCAAACAAAGAATTTCAAAGTAGAAAAAGAGCATTGCTATGCACTAATTTGGCGACTAGAAGAAAGCATGCAATAGTTACAGAACCAAAACAACACAGACACACAAGTGTTGGAAGCTCGGGCACAGCAAATCGTACGTCTGCTTCAGGAGAAAGGTGTCATCAGAACAAGGATTAAAGAGATAGCCGGCTATGTCGTGATGAAATGTCACGAATGTGAAGACATGACTAGGTCTATGTTTTTTGCTTCTGTGTTGACATTTGTTCACCAGGTGATGGCTGACTTGGACCGTCTTCAACAGGATATTGCATAAAGGCCCGCGCAAAGACCGAATAATGTTCCGCAGGCTCCCAGGGTACCGGTGGAGGCTCTTATGTATTCTTGACTTTCTTTTGGGTTTTAAGTCTATATTTCATTTCTCGAGTCTGTTAGTTTTTCCAGGTGAGTAGTGTTTTCCTGTTTAGAGTTTGTATGTTAGAGTCCTTGTAATAGATATTTAATGAAATATTGAAAACCCAAAAAAAAATTCTTTCTTTTATTTTGCATTTATCCCCTGAATTACGTAATGATCTGATTCATGCGGCGTCATGATACGTAGGCAATCCCCATAGGATTCGATCATAACCATAAAATGAAAGGAGAGGAAAGAAATCGAGTGAAAAAGAGTGGCAAAACAAGAAGAACAAAAGAGAGCGCAAAAAATAAAAAGGGAGCGACAGGAACCAAGTGAGAAAATCAATAGTGACTAAAGGAAGAAAGGAGTGAAAGAAAAGAAAGTGCAAAGTGAAAAGATTTAGTTAAGGCCGGGATGAAGCATGCAACCGTTTAAACACACGTTAGAAGCATTTAACTATTTAGGTGCATTGCATCCCAAACGTGTGATTGCCTATCTGTTAAACTCTTAAAAACTAACAAGTTTGCTGTTGCAATCAGTACAGGAAGGTGGTTAGTTTGTTTGGCATTCTGGCAAGTTATCCATATAACACCAGGTCAAAACACAAGGAAATCATGGCTAGCAAAGAATTAGACGCAAGTGTTGTTGACCCACCGAGAGAGATGGTGGAATTTGAGTCTGGGTTGAAAGAAGAGGTACACAAGATGAAGCACCAAATGGCCGAAATGTATCAAGCATGGATCAGGGGGCATCCTTCACCGTCATTCCCTTCCAACTATACAGAAAACCTTGCTTTCATCCCACCACTGTTACAATCCCAAGATCCCACTATTGTTGATCTTTCCCATCATCATGCACCAGGCTTCACACACTACCCCGGCACTTCAACCCAAACTTTCCAAGCTCCACCAGCCAAAACAACCGCATACCCTGCACCGCCATCTACCCCTGTCTTCGTAGCCCCTCCGCGAGTTACCCTCAATCGATCTTCTAGTGAACCGGCGTTCCAAGCTCAAGATACCCAATACTATGCTCCAGAGCCCACTTTCAAAGTCTTGGATCATTACTCCTACACTTCTCACTTTGAACCTCCTGTCGAAACTGAGAAACCACCCAAGAACACGGAGCAAGAGGAGATATTTAGGAAAGTAAAGAGTTTGGAGCAATCATTGAGGAATATGCAAGGGTTAGAAGGCCAAGTGAGTGTAGCTTATAAGGATTTATGCTTGTTTCCCGATGTCCAGTTACCTGCTGGGTTCAAGATGCCCAAGTTTGACTTGTACGATGGGCATGAAGACCTCGTGGCCCACTTAAGAGGGTTTTGCAACAAGATGAGGGGTGCTGGTGGGAAAGATGAATTGCTGATGGCATATTTTAGTCAAAGTTTGAGTGGTTCAACGTTGGAATGATACACCCGCCAGGACAATAGCAGATGGTACACTTGGGACGACTTGGCTCAGGCTTTCGCTCGGCATTTTCAGTACAACGTCAAAATTATCCCAAATCGCCTATCCTTGACCAAGATAGAGAAAAAGCCTAGTGAGAGCTTCAAAGAGTATGGCTTCCGGTGGAGAGAACAGGTTGCACGGGTCAACCCTCCTATGGAAAAAGACGAAATGGTGGAGTACTTTCTTCAAGCCTTGGAGCCTACTTACTTTGGCCATCTGATCTCAGCCATAGGTAAGTCTTTCAATGAAGTGGTAAAGATGGGAGGAATGGTGGAAGAAGGACTCAAATCAAGCAAAATCATGAGTTACTCCGCCATAAAAGCAACCACGCAAGCGATCCAAACTTGCACCGGGGGCGTGTTAGGGAAAAAGAAGAAAGAGGATGTTGCTATGGTCGTCTCAGGATCGTGGCATGACCCAAGGGGTCCACCTCACCATTACACCCAGCCTCGACCCAAGCTCCATATAATCCACCCCAACACTACTTCCCACCACAAGACCCTCAATATTCAGTTAGACCACCCCAATACCACGTCCACCACGCACAGTCATATGCTCAACCCCCTCCTTACCCGCAATAGTGTGCTCCAACTCCACAAAATCCTTATCCACCCCCCACAAACATACCGAAACCCTACTGATCCATGCTTTCAACCCAGGCCGGAGTATAGAAAGGAAAGGCAGTAGCGGAAACAAACTTTCACCCTGCTTGGAGAGTCCTATGCCAGTTTGTTTCAAAGAGTGAGGTAGTTGGACATTTTGAGGCCGATTGAGTCAAAATTACCAAATCCCCCTCCAAAGAACCTGGATTATTCCCTTAGATGCGCATATTGTTATGATGCTCCGGGGCACGACACAGAAATGTGTTGGCATTTGAAGAGCGCATTCCAAGAGCTTATCGATTCAAATCAAATTATGGTCCAAAGCCCAGAAGTGCCAAACATCAACCAAATCCCTTTGCCAGCCCATGCCAAAACGCACATGATTGAGATCGTGCATAAGGATGGGGAGCCCGAGAAGCCTTCAAAGTCTATCATGATGATCCGTGCTAGTAAAAGTACTTCATTCAAAACTCCAGCTGTTACAAATACAACATCCTCGACAGCTGAAGGGCCGACAGACAAGCTAAGCACGCCCAATATTAAGCCGCCCTTATTAGTAGTGAAAGGGTTCCCAGATGATGTTGAGACAAAGCAAGGAAAGACGAAAGTGGCTGTGCCAGGAGTAGCAAGTAAGCCTGTCATAATCGTGGAAGGGGCTCGCATTGCCCCTATTGTTATCAAACCCGTGACGCAACTGCCGATAGATAACACCAAGGTTGTTCCATGGAATTACAAGCAAGTGATAGTAACTTATAAAGGGAAAGAAGTGGAGGAGGAAGTTAATGAAACCAGAGGTTTGACTCGTTCAGGGAGATGCTGTACCCCAGAGGAATTAAGGAAAGCTAAGCCGTTCAAAAATAGCCCAATCCCAGTAAACCAGCCAGTTACCGAAGAGGAGGCGGAAGAATTCTTGAGAAAAATGAAGGTGCAGGACTACTCCATCGTGGAACAGTTAAGGAAAACACCAGCTCAGATTTCTCTTCTATCATTACTGATACATTCAGACGAACACAGCCGGGCCCTCATGAAGATTTTGAATGAGGCTCATGTCCCTGATAAGATCACGATGAACCATTTGGAGAAGATTGCTAATAAGATATTCGAGGCAACCGGGATCACTTTCTCGGATGACGAACTTCCCTTGGAGGGTACAGAACACAATCGAGCTCTTTATCTCATAGTGAAATGTGAGGATTCTGTGGTCTCAAGGGTACTAGTTGATAATGGTTCTAGCGCAAATATTTGCCCTCTCTCCACTCTGCCAAAGTTGAAAATCGATACTGAAAGGATCCACAAGAACAGTATATGTGTTCGAGGTTTTGACGGAGGGGGAAAGGATTCTGTTGGCGATATCATGCTCGAACTGACAATAGGGCCAGTCGAATTTACTATGGAATTCCAGGTGCTAGATTGGCCGTCTCCTACAATTTATTGTTGGGCAGACCCTGGATACATGTCGCCAAGGTAATCCGTCTTCTCTGCACCAAATGGTAAAGTTCGAGTGGGACAAGCAGGAAATAGTTGTGCTTACAATGATACATCTGTCCCGTTTATTGAAGCCGAAGATGATAAAGGGCCTTGGGTCTACCAAACTTTCGAAACAGTGTCAGTTGAGAAGATTCTGGAGGGGAAATTCATTCCAAGCCCAAAGCAAGCCTCCGCATCCGTCATGGTAGCAAATGAAATGCTGAAGAACGGTTTTTTGCCGGGCAAAGGTCTGGGTTCATCTCTACAAGGTATCGTGCATCCAGTGTGTCTACGTGAAAGTCTGGGTATGTTTGGTTTGGGATTCAAGCCCACAGGGGAAGAGGTAAAGAGGGTTAAAAGGTTGAAAAAGAAGGCATGGTCACTCCCTAAGCATGTTGCACACATATCCATGTCCTTTGTCAAGCCAGGGGTCGTGAAGCGCCCTATGTCAGCGATCCCAAAGCCTGTGGCCGACTTTGATGAAGAGATGATCAAGAGGTTCTAGAGTCTATTTGATGAGATTAATATGGTGGAAATTGGGGAAGGTTCCAGTGAAGCAGATGTGCAATTTGTTGGGCCAAAAGTGAAGCTTAACAATTGGAAGGCTACTCCTCTCCCTACTCGGAAGGAGTTTTGGTAGTTTGCTTTATTTTCCTTTCTGTTATCTGGGTTATTCCAAGGTTGTAATCCAGATTTTTATTTTTCGCTTGCTTTGATGTACAAACCCTTCTATCCTTTACTTTCAATGAAATGCAATTTCCCTTTTCCATTACTCTTGAGAGTGTCATTTTTGTCTTTCTTTGTACAGTTCCTTTTATGCTGGTTTCAATGACGTGACATGCATGAGGAATTTTCGGCCAAGTCTTAAAAGCCAATTTAACTCTGAAATAATAATCCAAGAAGTAGAGTGCGATGATGAAACAAAATATGATGAAGAAGAGGCATTTGAGGAAATTAGTAAAGAACTAAATCATTTTAAAGAGAAACCCAAGCCTAATTTGAATGAAACTAAAGCAATCAATTTAGGAGATCCAGATAATATCAGGGAAACCAAGATAAGTGTACACCTGGAACCACAAATCAAGGAAGAAATAATCAAAGCAATGTTTGAATATAAAGATATCTATGCATGGTCATATGACGACATGTCGGGTTTGAGTACTGACTTGGTAGTTCAAAAATTACCAACTGATCCGGAATTCCCTCCTGTCAAGCAAAAGTTAAGGAAGTTCAAGACTGACATGAGTGTGAAGATCAAGGAAGAAATCACAAAAAAACTGGATGCAAAGGTCATTCGGGTCACTCGATATCCCACTTGGTTAGCTAATGTTGTGCCAGTACCAAAGAAGGATGGTAAGACTAGGGTGTGCGTTGATTACTGCAATCTCAACAAGGCAAGTCCAAAGGATAACTTTTCATTGCCGAATATCCACATCCTGATTGATAATTGTTCCAAGCATGAGATCGGGTCTTTTGTGGATTGCTATGCAGGATATCACCAGATCTTGATGGATGAGGAAGATGCAGAAAAGACAGCGTTCATCATGCCATGGGGAACATATTGCTACCGGGTAATGACATTTGGTTTGAAGAACACTGGGGCAACTTACATGAGGGCAATGACTACCATATTTCACGACATGATACACAAGGAGATTGAGGTTTATGTAGATGATGTGATCATAAAGTCAAGAAAGCAATCCGACCATGTCGGAGACTTGAGAAAGTTTTTCCAAAGGCTCCGCAGGTACAACCTCAAGCTCAACCCTGCAAAATGTGCATTTAGTGTCCCGTCTGGAAAACAATTGGGATTCATAGTTAGTCGACGAGGTATTGAGCTGGATCTGTCAAAGATCAAAGCCATCCAAGAATTGCCACCGCCAAAGAATAAGACTGAGGTGTTGAGCTTGCTCGGGCGGTTAAACTATATCAGCAGGTTTATCGCTCAACTCACGACAACTTGTGAGCCCATCTTTAAGTTGCTGAAGAAAGATGCCGCGGTCAAATAGACTGATGAGTGTCAGGAGGCATTCGACAAGATCAAGAGGTACCTGTCAAACCCACCTGTGCTAGTCCCGCCGGAGCCTGGGAGACCTTTAATTCTTTATTTGACAGTCCTGGATAATTCGTTTGGTTGTGTGTTAGGCCACCATGACATCACTAGCAAGAAGGAGCAAGCCATTTACTATCTCAGCAAGAAGTTCACTTCTTATGAGGTCAAGTATACTCTCCTGGAAAGGACATGTTGCGCCTTGACTTGGGTGGCACAAAAGTTGAAGCATTATCTGTCGTCCTACACTACTTATCTCATTTCTCGCATGGATCCTCTAAAGTATATCTTTCAGAAGCCTATGCCCACAGGAAGACTTGCGAAGTGGCAGATTTTACTCACAGAGTTTGACATCATCTATGTGACTCGGACTGCGATGAAAGCCCAAGCCTTGGCCGATCACTTGGCCGAGAACTCGGTAGATGAAGAGTATGAGCCATTGAGGACTTATTTTCCTAATGAAGAAGTGATTCATATTGACGAGGTTGACCAGGATGAAAATCCAGGTTGGAAACTTTTCTTTGATGGAGTCGCTAACAAGAAAGGTGTCAGAATAGGGGTTGTGCTCATTTCCGAAACAGGGCATCACTACCCCGTAACAGCTCAGCTTCGATTTTATTGCACCAACAACATGACTGAGTACGAGGCATGCATTCTGGATTTAAGGCTAGCTATAGACATGGGAGTTGTTGCTCCCAATCGCACACGCAAGTATACGTGATCGACAAGTAATACAGGATTGTAAGTCCAGATATCGTACCCACAGGGACTTGTGATTAACTATCAACCAAATTAAACCAAACAATTAATCTATTCAAGTGAATCCTAAAGTATGAATATTTAACTAAAGATAATCTAGAGTAGTAAACTAAGAGCTTAAAGAAAACAAGTTGGTGAATTATAGAGACGAATTCAATGTGAGTGAATACTCTAGAGCTATGGGTTGGCTAACAATCCCGTTGAGTTTTCCACCTAAATCGTCTAATTAATTTATCTGGTTTATTGGTTGACGGGGTTAATATTGCTCGTAGCCTTCTTCCGAAGTACAACTCGCCTATTCAAGCTAACCTAACGCCTATATTCCTATGGAATTAGGATTAACAAGAACGCATTTATAATTCCCGTATAATAACCAAGCAAGGCGATTAGGTATATTCCTATCCTAACCGCAAATCCGCTCCCCCTAAGAGTTAAGATCTTGCTCTACTCAATCTTATATGCAATCTAGAATTCCCTCTCCCGAGTTCAATCCTAGATTCGTAGATAGTATTCAATTGGTGATCAAGCAATCAAATAATTAAGCGCAAGATTGAATAAATAAACCAATATGATAAAATAATAAGAACAATTCAAGCTTCAAACTACAACGTTCATGTAGCACCCAAAACTCTAGAACAAAGAAACTATGAAATTAAAGAAAGAGAAGAGAAGAAAAACTAGTTAGAAGCCTCCTCCAAGCGTGGTGTTAGATATCACCAAAAGTGGCGTCCTCCTCTCCAAAAAATTGGTTTAGTCTTGCTTTTATACGTGTTGGGTAGGTCTAGGGCCGAAATAACCTTGTCCCGGGCGAAATAGGACACATTTCACGTCACCGGCGCCCAGCCCGGCGCCAGGCGCCCTCCATAGCGCCCAAATATTTGTGCATACTGTTTTTGGTGCCACAGGTGGCGCCAGGCGCTGCCTGTGGCGCCCAACTGGCCCTTTTTCCCGGTTTGGTTCGTTTTGGCTCAAATCTTGCGCGTTTCGCCCCGTGCCGTTTGGAATTTGGAAAAACATAAAACAAAAAAAGTTGTAGCCCTTTGGTTTAGCTTTCCAACAATATATTGTGGAGACCAAATGGAGTTCTGAGCAAAAAGTTATATCCATTTTACTAGACAGTGCGCAATATGCCTACTCGATTCTTCGTTCACTCTAACTATCATCTGTTGACCCCCAAACACGATTCCGGCTTAATTCCTTGAGCTTTTACTCAGACTTCAAAGCTCCAAATCACTTGAGTTCATTCCATAACATCTATATAGCTCGGAATCACTCCTACAAGGCATAAAACACACAGTTAGTGCAAGACACTAGCGATTAAAGCTCAAACTCAATCAAAGTGCAGTAAATTTGAGTGTAATAATTGACTAAAATACGTAATTATAGCCTATCATTAGGAGTTTAGGAAATATTGGTTTTGGGAGATTCAGATTTGTTGGTTCACCAGATTCAGGGAGAATGGGAGACTCGAGATTTGAAGCTCATACCGTATCGACAATGTCTGCATGATCTTTGCCAACAATTCAGATCAGTAGAATTCAGGCATATTCCTAGGATTCATGCCGACGCCTTGGCTACTCTGGCGTCAATGTTACACCATCAGGATAAGACTTATGTCGACCCTTTGCATATTCAAGTTCGTGATCAGCATGCCTATTGTAATGTGGTTGAAGAGGAACTTGATGGTGAACCTTGGTTCCATTATATCAAGGAGTACATCAAGTTGGGGGTATATCCGATACAGGCCATAGGTGATCAAAAGAGAACAATTCTACGTCTGGCTAGTGGATTTTTCTTGAGCGGGGGAATTTTGTACAAGAGAACTCCAGATCTTGGACTATTGAGATGCATAGATTCTAAACAAGCTTCGACTATGAGCGGATATGTCTTGGCAAAGAAAATTCTTCGAGCAGGTTATTATTGGCTCACCATGGAACGAGATTGCATCAGCTTTGTACGCAAATTTCATCAATGCCAGGTGCACGGTGATCTGATTCATTCTCCTCCATCTGAGTTGCACACAATGTCTGCACCTTGGCCCTTTGTTGCTTGGGGCATGGATGGCATTGGACCAATTGAGCCAGCAGCATCAAACGGGCATAGGTTTATTCTGGTGGCCATTGATTATTTCACCAAGTGGGTTGAAGCTGTAACTTTCAAATCTGTGACGAAGAAGGCAGTGGTGGATTTGTTCATTCAAAATCTCATTTGCGAGTTCGGAATCCCCAAGGTAATCATCACAGACAATGCTGCTAATCTCAACAGTCATCTGATGAAAGAGGTATGCCAACAGTTCAAGATTATGCATCGAAATTCCACTCCGTATCGCCCTAAGGCAAATGGAGTTGTCGAGGCGGCTAACAAGAACATAAAGAAGATACTTCGTAACATGGTACAAGGTTCTAGGCAATGGCATGAAAAGTTGCCTTTTGCTTTGATGGGTTATCGGACTACTGTTCGCACTTCAGTAGGTGCAACTCCTTATTTGCTGGTATATGGAACTGAAGCAGTTATACCTGCGGAAGTTGAGATTCCATCCCTTCGAATTATTGCTGAAGCTGAAATTGATGATGATGAGTGGGTCAAAACCCGATTAGAGCAGTTGAGTTTGATTGATGAGAAAAGATTGGCGACAGTATGTCATGGTCAATTGTATTAGAAGAGAATGGCAAGAGCATACAACAAGAAGGTGCATC